GACACGAACGCAATTCGACCGACGAACGAGCTAAGCGCTTTGGTGAGACAAATGCGATTCGACCGATTTGCTCGAGAAAACGAACGTGATTTGACCAACGAACGAGCTAAACGTTTTGGCGACACGAACACGAACGCGATTCAATCGATAAGCGAGCTAAACTCTTTGGTGAAACAAACGCAATTCGAAATATCCGCTCGGGAAAAAGAATGCGATTCGACATATCCGCTCAGAAAAACGAACGTGATTCGACCAACAAACGATCTAAGCGCTTTTGGTGATACGAACGCAATTCGATCAACGAGCGAGCTAAGAGTTTTTGTGAGACAAAGGTGATTCGACCGGCGAACGAGCTAAAGCGCTTTGGTGAAAACGAACGCAATTCAACCAACAAACGAGCTAAGCGCTTTTGGCGACAAGGACGCAATTCGACCGACAAACGAGCTAAGCTCTTTGATGAGACAAACGCGATTCGACCGGCGAACGAGCTAAAGCGCTTTGGTGAAAATGAACGCGATTTGATTGACGAGCGAGCTAAGCGCTTCGGTAAACGAACGCAGTTCGACCGATCCACTTGGTAAAACTAAGAAGTGAACGAGCTATTCTATCGATGTAGCCCCCACTCCCTTAGGTGCGAGACTCGTCAGTATAAGGGAGTAGATACGATGGGTTATCGAGTTCGCCTTACTAACTTTGATCGTGATCGGGTAATGACCCGACCGGGTCCGCGGTGCGAGTGCACCAGGCTACACCCACAACGTCGACGATCGGGAAATGGCCTGACCGTGTCCGCGGTGCGAGTGCACTAGGCTACACCTATAACGTCGATGACCGGGAGGTGACTCGACCGTGCTCAAAGTGTCGGTGCACTACCGGTCGACTTGCCTAATTTAAAGGACTTTTGGAACTTTACGAATTTTGAACTGACCGATCGAGTGATCGGACCTCTAGTCGAGTAGAGGGTTTACGGGCTACCGATCAAGTGATCGGGTTTCTAATGAGATCGGGTAAACAATCTCTAACTCGTACGTCTCGAAGCCGAGATACGATCTCGGCTACCTGGACTGGTGGTGGCAAGGCCAACCTAATCGATCGTAGAGTGCCAGTGGTGGTGAGGCAAACCTAACTGGTCTTAAAGCGCCGGTGGTGGCAACGCCAACCTAACCGATCGTAGAGTGCCAGTGGTGGCGAGGCAACCTAACTGATCTTAAAACACCGGTGGTGGTAAAGCCAACCTAACCGATCGTAGAGTGCCAGTGGTGGCGAGGCCAACCTAACTGGTCTTAAAACGCCAGTGGTAGCAAAGCCAACCTACCCAGTCCAAAAATGCGTAGTTCGAGACGTGATCTCGAACTGACCAAGCCGGTGGTGGCAATACCTACCTAACCGGACTTAGAGCGCCGGTGGTTGTAATGATGACGACCGGTCCGGACTTAAGAGTGCTAGTGGTGGCGAGGCCAACCTAACTGGTCTTTAGAACGCTGGAGGTGGCAATGCTGACCTATCCGGTCTCAAAGTGCCAGTGGTTGCAAGGCCACCCTAACTGGTTTTTTAAAATGCCTAACTTGTAGGGCTTGAAACCGAGTTGTGATCTCGAACTGACCAAGTCGGTGGTGGCAATGCCGACCTAACCGGACTTGGAAACCCATCTGGAACTGAAGCTATAGGAACCTTGTCTACTTCAATCTTGGTGCGGTGGAAGTTCAAGCGACATTACTAGTCGTCGGGTTATCGCCGTCACCGGTGTTACCGGATAAGTTTAAGCGACATTGTGGTCGTCGGGCTATCGCCCTCATCGATTGGGACCGGAAAAATTCTCACCGGTGTTACCGGTCAAGTTTAAGCGACGTTGTGGTCGTCGGGCTTTCGCCCTCATCGGTTGGGACCGGAAAAATTGTCACCGGTGTTACCGGTCAAGTTTAAGCGACGTTGTGGTCGTCGGGCTGTCACCCTCTTCGGTTGGGACCGGAAAAATTGTCACTGGTGTTACCGGTCAAGTTTAAGCGACGTTGTGATCGTCGGGCTGTCACCCTCATCTGTTGGGGCCGGAAAAAGTTTAACGACATTGTAGTCGTAAGCCAGACCGACCTGTCCGAGCTTAGGGTGCCGGTGGTGAAAATACCAACCTAACCGGACCTATTACAATTAACTGTGTTATTACAATTTTCAAGTACAAGCGTATAACTTGTACAAAACTACAAGTTAGCCTCTACATTCTACATTTTGGAATTCTACGGCTAACTCTAATTACCATTTTTAAAAATTACAATTTTTAAAAATTACATTATAGAGCTATAAACTCTAAAATCCTTATTTAATTTACATTTTCCGTTGCATGTGTGCAGACTGCCAACCACCATAAAGCCCCACTTTAATTTTCTTCTAGCTTTTCACTCCACCGCCCCATCACCTCTAATTTTTCTTCTTTTAATAATGGATTCACATGCAATACTTGATCATTCCAACACTCTTGTCGGCCACTAGGAAATTCCAGCAAATAGAACTTTGATGAAAGTAGGATCTCGGTCATGGTGTTGGTGCTGCTCCGCCGGAAGTATGCTGTCGATCAGATCACCACCAAGCTTTATCACCATCATCGCAATCCCTTCAAGAACCGACGGTGTTTACAAATACACTCGTACGAATTTCCAATTGGACTCTCATCCAAATGCTAATGCGCTTGCAAATATATTTACTGACACAGAGCCCATACTGGAAATGCGTGGAGAGGAAAAACACGATCAAGAGATACCCAGCTAGAGACGGAAGGCTCCTAAGCTTTTGGCTTCTACGGCGGCGGGCGGATGATGAAGGTGGATGACATGCATGGCACTTTTGGAAGTGGCGAGAGAGGGAGGGAATGGCGGTGGTACTCTTCACCTCGAACCCGGCGACTGGTCCGATGATGGCGGCGACGATGGCGAGCGGTGGTGCATGTAGGCCGCGACAACAGCAATGAGGCACACTGGTCGTTGACAAGCAATCGGCGGCGAGGTAAAAGAGGATTGTGGCAATGATGACGACGAAGCCTTGGCGTGGACGGCGGGCATGTCTTCCTTCGGCTCCAGCGATTTTCCTTCAAGTTGCAATGAACAGAGGATGTACACCAATAGATAGGGTGGTGCAGTGATCGGGGCACAGGCCTGAACGGGAGAAAACTTGGGTTCAAACCTTCCATTCCCAGAAAATTCCCAGAATTCTTGCTGATTTCCAGAATTTTCCAGCAGCTCTTTGTGTAGCTTTTTCTTTGATGGTAGGAACCGAGCTCTTTGCTCGGTTCCCCACAGACGGCGCCATTTGATAGTACTAATTCCAACGTGCATGTACTGTATGTAATATGAATGTGTATGAACAAGAAGAATATAGGGTAAAGTTGGTATTTTATTCATATATGTTCTTTTGTATTTTTGTAGAGGGAAGGGGGAGAAACATAGCTTAGAGAGAGGGGGATCATGGAGAATGAACCAAAAGTCCCTCAATTAGTGGGCTAGAAGCCTTTTTATAGGATCAAGAGGTGGCGGGTTTGACCCCGCAAATTATGCTGTGCAACCGAATGCACCTTGCAAGGTGCATACGGTTGCAAAACGGCGCCGTTTTGGTTAAAAAAACGCGCGTCCCACTTAAAGGAGAAATCAGGTTCGATTCTCGACAATAGCATTTTTATATATCCAGAAATTCATAACTATATAACCACAATTTCATAACTATATATCCAGAATTTCATAACTATATATCCACAGTGAATGAATGAATTAAAAATCCACAATGAATGAATGAATGAAGTAAAAATCCACAATGAATGAATGAATGAAGTAAAAATCCACAATATATGATTGAACTAAATATCCACAATGAATGAACTAAATATCCATAAATTCATAACTATATAACCACAATTTCATAACTATATATCCAGAATTTCATAACTATATATCCACAGTGAATGAATGAAGTAAAAATCCACAATGAATGAATGAATGAAGTAAAAATTCACAATGAATGAACTAAATATCCACAATATATAATTGAACTAAATATCCACAATGAATGAACTAAATATCCATAAATTCATAACTATATAACCATAATTTCATAACTATATATCCACAATTTCATAACTATATATCCACAATAATGCTATTGCTGAGAGTCGAACCTGATTTTTTTTTTAAAGTGGGACGCGCGTTTTTAATCAAAACGACGTCGTTTTGAACCGTATGCACCATGCGCATGGTACATTCGATTGCACAGCATAACTATTGGTTTGACCCATCTTGGGTTTGACCCCGACCCGTAGGCCAAAATCCAAACCACTCGATCCGACTTGACTATAAACGCTAGCACGGACCCAAGACATATAACCTATCAGCTACAAAAATTTAAATCCCCAATATATGAAAGGACGGTAGAAGAGTGTGTAAAGCATAATTTTTATATCATAAGGTCATTTATCTCAAAGTAATGGTAGTTTACGTCGGCACCAAAATAAAGAGAAATTGTATTTTTCATCCCTAAATTATGTGATAATTGAATAATTGGTTTCTAATTATTGGTATGCCCACTTTTGGTCTCTAAGTTATCATTGGTGTTACACTTTTTATCTCTTTACTATAGCAAAACATTAGGGATGTACAACTTTAGTATAGCTTAGGAACGAAAAGTGAGTAAAAAAATGTTAATAAAAGGATGAAACTGCAACACCAATGATAATTTAGGAGTGAAAAATGAGCACCATCAACACTTATCTAGGAACGAATTCTACAATTACCCTATAACTTAGCTAGGGATGAAAAAATGCAATTTTCTCCCAAAATAAATTAATAAACTAGTTAAGTGCATTATTATTTTCCATACATATATGAATAGTGGATTCTAACAGAAAAGTAGCTGCAACTTATGAACATTGCATTTACGTGAATACCAAAACAAGACGTGTACGTGAATAAAATAACCCTGCATCCATGCTTTAAAACCTTGGATTGAAAACCAAAATGAAAATGTAAAACAAAACAGCGGACCGGATCGGAATGGCACACTCAGTGAACCTAAGCCTAGCATGGCTGCTTCTCACCTCCATAGCGGCGCTACTTGCACCAACTCCGCCGTCAGTGGTGGCGGAAATAACCTGTTCAACGGTGTTCAACGCGCTCATACCATGCTACAAGTATGTGGTCGGTGGAGGACTGGACGTGCCAACGCCCTGCTGTGGCGGCCTGAAGAACCTGCTGAGCTGGGATTATGGCAGGGAGGATGTGCAGAAGGCCTGTGCGTGCTTGAAAACCGTGTTTCACGGTGTGGGTGAGGAGCAAATTAGCCGCGCCATGGATATCCCAGGGAAGTGTGGTGTTAATCTGGGTTTTCAGTTTGGAGGCGATATGAACTGCGACAATATCCAATAAAAATGCATTCCCGCCTTCAGTGGAGCGGGGGGCGTAGGGTACTTGCGGTTAAGTATTCAACCTCTCGGGTTTCCTTCTGTTTATGTGTTGTGCTATGCACACAAAGTGATATATAATAAATATACTATATAATAAGGCTGAATTTATTCTTCCAATACATACTCTCTCATTTGTGAATTCTATTTCTACATCACCATATTTGTAATTTCTTTGTTTTCTTTTCCTTCTGATCGTTTGCTCCATTCCCTCATTCTTCGTTCTTTTGAGTATTTTCTTTTTTTTTTTGTGGGCATACGAACCCCTCATTCTTCGTTCTTTTGAGTGGGAGTGGGACAGTTGAACTGCAGATTTTAGGTTGTTCCATTCTAAAGTCAATGATTGAACCCTATTTTTTTTTGGCATACAAACCCAGGGTCCCCTCATTGGATTGTAGGCACCTCCTGACTTGGAGATTTAAGACAGCTTCATTTCCAAAGCCAAGGATGGTACCCTTAACCTTTGGTTAAGAGTGAATGAGTCCCTTCTACTCGACCACACTCTCCAGGTTCTTTGTTATTTTCTTCACATTCTTACAATAATCTCTCACTTTTAAAAGGGGTTCCACTTTCATATCACATCAAAACAAAATTAAAAAAAAAATAAAGAAATAAAAAAATAAAAAAAATGTGCAAAAGGCTGCCCTAGAGAAGGAGCTATGGCAAGCTTTTGTCGAGATTGCAAACTTGCTACAGTTACAAGTTTACAACCCATGTCATCATTTTAAAAAATTGATATATAATAAATATACTATTCTATATACTAAGGCTGAATTTATCCCTTCAAAATTGGAAAATTTCAGTTCACGTTTCTTGAAAATGATAAATCAGTACTAGAACCGTTTAGGAAGGTTTCAATTTCGGTTTGAACAACCGATTCAAAATTTATTTATTTATATATTTTTTTAAATTCTATTTCTTATTTTTAAAATAGTCTAAATTCAACAATTATTTTATTTTATTTTATTTTTTCGGTTTTGAATCATAACCAGAACTATCTCTATTGTTTCTGTTCGGTTGCTACAGTGTACGGTTAGGTTCGACAAAACCGTAGTCATCTATACATATAAGCATTAATTTGTTGGAAAGAAAAATGAATGAAATACTTATTTTTAATGGTAAAAATGTTTATCTAACATAAAAGGAGGAAAATTGTCACTTTTAACATAACTTAGGGGACAAATGTGGATAAATAAATAACTCAAGGGAAAAAATGCTATATACATATAACTTAGGAGGAAAAATGTCATTTTCCCTTATGTTTATTTATAATTGGCTGTCAATAAAAGTGAATGAGAAAAATAAGTAAAAAATCTTTAATATCTTTAATTTGTTACATGAAGATATTGCATATATTGCAATCATCAATTAAAGACTTAGATTACAATTTTACTATTTATTATTAGAGACTATTTGTTCTTTCAATAATTAATATGAGATGCATAGATATTATTGTCACATGATTGTAGAGATTTACATGATATACTGAAATTATTTGTATAAAGGTGACTAACATATTTCAAAGGTTATAATTTAAAAATTATAATTCCTTAGTGGAAAGTTTAAAATTATTCTTAAATTCTCTGTCTAGGAATGTGATTTTTAAGAAAATTTCGATTTCACGACTCGAGCAGTGAATTTCAACAAAGTAGTGTGTTGATCATGCACGCTAGCTAGTTAAAGTGTCACTTGATCCTCAATAACCTAAAGTGAGATTAACTTTCAAAGGATGTTAAAAATTTAAGTCTTGTGAATTGAATAGTTTGTATTAGTTACTTTCTAAATTCTTTAAAAATGAGAAAAATAAAAGAAAGAAATAAGGTTTATATAATTTTAAGATGTTAGAGCTATATGTTGAATTCACTTTATTGAAATTTCTATAGATAAATTATTCTCTAATAAATGCTAGTTTGAATATATTCTTTGCATATGAGATTAATTTCTCTCAAGAATATTATGTGAAACCTATGATTATGTTGTTCAACTCAAAGTATTATGCAATAAAAAACATTATCTTTATGGCTTGCTGCCAATGAGCATTTATTATTATTTAATTAAAATCTTAATTGAGTTATTTGAAAATCTAGGATTCTTGTCTAAAAGGAAACCTTAGTGATTGAGGTAATCAATTTGGTTGAAATATATTTCACTATTGAGTATGTATTGACGAAGTGTAGAATTGCTATAAAGTTTCACAAAACAAATTTGCATAGCTCAGTCTACTAAGGAGCCAATGTTAGACTCTAAAAACCAAGCTAATGTGGGGGTAATTAGCTCTTTATATTTCTCTACTATAAATATCTCTATTTATAGTACTAAGAATAATGATAAAAGACAAAATTTCTTGTTAAGAATGACAGTCTCAAGGAAACTATTTTTGAGTAAATAAAGTACGTACTCATTAAAGAGTACATAAGTTTTGATCGAGGTGATCAACTTACTCTAATAGAGAAGACTAATTATGAGATAGGATTATTAGGGCGTTTGGTTGGAAGAAAAGAAATTGTAATTCGGTGGGAAAAGAAGTGGAAATAAAGTAATAATTAGTAGTAGTAGTGGTAGTGGTAGTGGTAGTGGTAGTGGTAGTGGTAGTGGTCGTAGTAGTAGTAGTCGTAGTAGTCGTAGTAGTCGTAGTAGTAGTGGTAGTGGTAGTGGTAGTGGTAGTGGTAGCGGTCGTGGTAGTAGTAGTCGTAGTAGCCGTAGTAGTGGTAGTGGTAGTGGTAGCGGCAGAGATAGCAGCAGCAGTAGTAGTGGTGGTTTTCATAGGGGGCCCTATGAATTGCAATTTGAAATTCTTCAAATGGAGGGAATTGCAATTCGATGGAATTGCACTTCCCTTCAACCAAACAGTGTAAATTGCAATTCCCTTCAACCAAACAGTGTAATTGAGGGGCTTAACAAATTATGTTGTAATGTAATTGAGGGTAATTTATATCATGCACCACGACCAGGCACAAAACGCGCACGTTTCATGCTGACGTCATACTGACATAGTAGTAGTAGTAGTAGTAGTGGTAGTAGTAGTGGTTTTCATAGGGGGCCCTATGAATTGCAATTTGAAATTCTTCAAATGGAGGGAATTGCAATTTGATGGAATTGCAATTCCCTTCAACAAAACAGTGTAATTGAGGGGCTTAACAAATTATGTTGTAATGTAATTGAGGGTAATTTATATCGTGCACCATGGCGCACATAGCAATGTGCGCCCAGGCACAAAACGCGCACGTTTCATGCTGACGTCAGACTGACATCACTCCGTCCATCCGAACAGACCAAACCTCATTATGTGTATTCAGTTAAAATTTTATGTGTATTGTGTTATGAGTTTATGTGTATTCAGTTAAGAGTTTATGTGTATTATGTTAACCAAACTCATTATGTGTATTCAGTTAAAAGTTTATGTGTATTGTGTTATGAGGTTATGTGTATTATGTATTATGTTAGATTATGTGTATTCTGTTATGAGTTTATGTGTATTCTTCTATGAGTTTATGTGCATTCTGTTATGAATTTATGTGCATTCGAAACAGGGAATTTTTTTTTAACAACATAACAAAACGACGTCATTTTGGGAGGTGCAGGGAGCACAGTGGTATTTGCGCCCTGGTGCACGGGGTTGGTTCCGGTAGGGTCGAATGCGAGTCTAGAGGGAGGGGGGTGAATAGAATCTTATCGATTTTTCATATTTAACTCCTTTCGGGGTTATGCACAGCGGAAATTGTATCTACGTTTTAGAATGAACTTTGCACGATTTCGTTTTGAAAGATTAGGTTATGGCTAGTATGCATGCAATGACAGATAGATAGTTATGCGAAAGTAAAGGGAGATAGAGAGAGATTTTTATAGCGGTTCAGCTATTAACAAAGCCTACTCCACTCTTCTTTCACAACTCGTGAAAGGGTTTGCACTATCACACCTAGTACAAACTACTCAAGCTAGATTCCTTGATCACTAAGCCGGACAGCTACTTGGAAGGTTTTTCAACTCCTAGAGTTTACTCTGCCTCTATCAACTTCTTCTTCAGAGTTGAATGTTGGATGATGTTGATGAGTTTCTCCAACTGCTAGTCATGACTTGACTTGATTGATCAAATGAATCTTCTTGTAAAGATGCAAGACTTCCTTAATGATTGTGAAGAATGAATCTGGATGAACTTCTTGAAAACTTCACAATCACAATCACTGGTTATAAAAAGCTTTTGGTATGATCTTTGTTTGAAGAGCTTTTCTTAGATAAAATCAGTTTAACAACCAGCACCTTCTTCAGTGGTGAAGAGAGGTATTTATAGGTGAGGAAAAATTCATCCGTTGGATGGAGATGAAATTTCAAACCTATTAACCAGCGTGTATTGACCATTGGGCATGGAGCATTTATTGCGGCTGTATTGTGTAGTCGTTGGAGTCCAACAGCATTGTGGTTTTTGTTCCTTTCTTTTGATAACAAGTACTTAATCATTTAATGCTCCTTGAATTTATGAATATCATTCCTAAGACTTCTTTTGTCTAGGATGATTGCCCTCTAAGAAACATAGACAACATTCCCTTTGCTCATGTATTAACTTTGTCTTTTTAAGTCTGACTTAGACTTAATTGTCTCAAAGGTGTCACACGAAAGATTGTCTTTATCTTTCGTTGTCTTGAATGATAAGATGTCTTTCCTTATCATTTTACACGAGAGCTAGACCCTTCCATCTTTCGGTCTGTGCGGTTCTCTCGGTCTTCTCTTCTTCTTCACTTCTTCTCGTAGACCTAAACTAGTAGACACAACTCAAATTCGTGTATGTATGCCATTTAACCGAATCACATGGTGAGTTGCTAATTCTTTCGTCTAACACGAAAGTTCTAAGATAAAGAAAATCAAGAGGGGTCTACGATCCTAGCAAGATTGGTATCGTCAAAACCTAAATACACTTGTTCCTAACACACGGTATAATGATTGCTAATTGAGGGGCTTAACGAATTAGTTGTAATTGCAATTCAATTACATCCAACCAAACAGGCAGTTAGTCATTGAAGTTCTGATAGAATGACTTAAAGCCCAAGAGGTGATGAATTCGTGGTTGATCTCACTTTTGTAGTCAAACAAAACCATGGATAGAATCACAAAGTAGTACACTTATTAGTCCTTCTTGCAATGGGTTACTTGTGAGGTTGAGCTATTATTCTTAATGAATTCATAATCCTATGA